CTCCTGTGCTTTTCTAGCTTTGCAGTTGCTCTAGGAAATCCCTTACGGTGAGAGTCAAACAGTGGGATGTGGTCGCTGTGCCGGCTTCCTGCTCCTTCGTATTCTTGATGTTAACAATTGTCTATAGGCCTAACGACAGTAATGCAAATATTTTCATGAACCTCCTGAACTCTGGAGGATTTGAAGGTTCCTGACATTTACAGAAAGGCAGGCCAAATCGTATTTCCTTACTACAGTTATATTTTAAAAAAACAAAACACCACTCCAGTACAGTAATGAACATTTTGCATTGCACATTTCTGATATCTTTTCTGGTCAGCTGAATGTCAAGTGACCTAAGATAGATCTTGGACTATAAATTAATTCTCCACCAGTGTCTTTACTCAAATGGTTCCATCTAGCTCTGGATTGCAAAAAAAATCTAAATACCCATGAAATGGTGAAGGCGGAGATACTGAAAATCAGCATTGGAAAATTATGAAACAATGAAAGGGTAAAATAATGATATGGTAACAACTGTAGAAATGACATAATTTATGAGGTAATTTTTCTTGAGCAGAAGCTCCTCTGCAAATCCCTGCAGTCCCCCTTCTTAATATCCCTTCAGATAATCTGCAGGCTATTGTTGCCCAAGAAAACCCTGGGATTATTTTGAGATGGGGGGCCACGTTTCGCCTACAGGTCCCCTGCATGAGCAGGGGGTCGAACTAGGTAAATTCCAAAGTCCCTTCCAACTCTGTTAGTTCTTAGATAGAGATTATGTCTACCAAACAAACAAAAAGGAAAAGAAAAAAGGAACATTGCTCATCAGGAACGGGATTAAAGTGATTTGTTCACCTTTATCCCGCAGGCGGGAGTTGGTGAATTCAGCCAGTTGTGATTTAGCCCATTAAACCATAGTTAGTTATGATGTATTTGACATGCTTCCATGGCGTAACATCTTATTTGACTTATAAACTATGGGTTAGGTTTATTGCGCTTGAGCGCTTGAGTTAATTGTGGATTTTATTTAGTTAAGCAAATAGGTCTAGACTTGGCTGATGAGAGCCATTCCTTCTTGGGCTTCCAGGCAGTACGAAAGATACTTCCAGCCCCCACCTGCTTATCAATGACTCAGTTGTCCCACCCAGAGCCACTGCCCAGGAGTAGCTGTGTTCCAGGCTGCTGCTGTGAGCAGATAAGAGAAGGAGCCTCTCCCCCATTTTTTGGGCAGTAGCATCAGTGGGGCACCTTTCCCATGGAGCAAAGCCCCTAACAAGCCTACCCCTTGTACTTTGAGAGGACCTCAGAATGTGATTCAAAATTATTAAGGCTTAGGCTTGGTGTTCAGCCTAGACACAACCCCAGATCTGCCTACTCCATCTTGGAGAAGGGAGGGAAGGCAGAGGAGGGCAGATCCCATCCTGAAGCAGAAAATGCTGAAGACGGTTCATATTCGAAGTTGCTTCAATCTAAAATTAATATAATACAACATTTACAATTAAGCATAGAATATAGCTATTCCTCTGATCAGGACATTTTTTGTTCGCATATTTTTATTTCCATTTTCATAAAATCACATGTATACTATACATAGCCAGTATCATATAGTATTAAATAATGATTACATCAGTTCCTCTTGTCCTCAACGCTCCAAAAAGATTAACACCCCTTATTAGCTCTTCTACTCTCCATACACCTCTTTTTTCTACCTCTCTCTTACTTCCTATCTTCCCTCC